CCCCAAAACCCCAAAACCCCAAAACCCCTTCTTTCGTTATTTCATTAAAGTTGAGTCATTAGTAAAACTTAATAAGAATTATGAAATTAAGTAAAGTTCATAAATAGAATTTCTTTAGCACTCTAAATCCTTCCTCTTGATATTCCTTTCGGGTAACGACATACTCTTCAAAATTGTTTTTATTCTAGCAAAACTATCTAAGTCCTTTCCAGGCAGATGTAATTGGATTTTGCAGCTCATATATTTATACTTCACTACCATCAGGCTTTAAGCTTTGCATGTCCTGGTATAACCTGTCTCTAAACCCAGTAAACATTGCGTTGCCACCTGATACGATTATATTCTAATAAAGTTGTCTTTCCATCACCTTTGGGCACTTATTAACAGACTATTGAATCATTTCTGGAAGTCCTGCTTCATTAATGCCAATATCCTAAGGAGTAAATAATACCTCTGGCACTGAGAATCTTTCGTTAGAGATTTTAATGGCTTACAACTAAGGTGCTCTCTGATTCGTATTAGTATTAATCTATTCCTGATCTGGAGGAAGTTGCTAGAAAACGACTGGATCTCTAATTTAGCCTCTTTTATTATTCTTATAATCTGGCAGAACATACTCTTTTGCTATGGGGTTAAGCATCTGCTTGCAGATCTCTAGTTATTCATTGAAGCTGGTTGAGACATAACAAAGTTGCTCCTTGATATCATTTACAAGATGAGTCTCGCCCTAGAGATTTATTTCTTTGTAAGAGATGATTTCATTCAACAGATTAGTCAAGAGCTTACCCCCTACATCAATTCTAGTCGCTGCATACTTAAGAGGTCTCCCATTGAAAAATGGTACTCCGTAAGTATAAGAGAAGCCTGAGTCTACTACATATTCACATTATTGACTTGGAGCTCCACCGCCTAGATTTACTGGATGTTCAATCATAGCTGCTTCTCTAATCATTGAGTGAGTTGAGCTCATAAATAATCCATCGAATTCAAAGTCTTCAAACACTATCTCTGCCAGTCTATTCTACACGATATCAGGGAGTACTGGGGGCAAAGTCAATGCTAAGCAACTTGCTCTCTCCTCCATTTTCTTGAACTTAGAGAAAATCTGCTTCCAGATGACTGTCTCAAGATCTGAATCATGCAGCAGTCCCCTGATAATTGGGTAGGTTATCTGCATATTGCTATGACCATTCTCTAACTCTTCAAACAGTTTATTTCCAGCATAAACCGCTCTGGTCTTTTTATCCTTCCCCACAGCATTATAAATCTTCTGAGGCTTTAACTCAGAAGCTGCTGAGTACTTGATCTCATAAGCTCCGTTGTCCAGGATGATTCTCTTACTGAGAGAGTCTCGCCATGTTGGTCCACTCGCGCACATTTTGAATTAATTATATAACTTATTGATTGTTATTATTTATAATAATTTATCATCAATAAAAATATGAATGTATTAAGGGGTTTTGGGGTTTTGGGG